AATAGCAAAATTTAAAGTACGGAATAGCCTCGCCCCCAACTTCTGCATTTGTTTAAGCCTAATCTCTCTAGAATAGATAGATGTTCACTGTAACGGGGTGAATCGTTACATAACAATTTATAAGAAATTGTTAATAGAATATAACTATAAGAGTTATATTCTCAGAATATTGTCATAAGGACAATATTCTGTAGCACTTCCAAGTAGTTCCTAATTGGTTGATATAGGCCATTATATCAACCAACGAAGACGCGCCACGACAGACGCACGCAATGAGTGGTGAGCAGATAACTGATTTACACATTTGTATTTAGACATAGTTAGATGAAGATAAATAGTGATTTATTGCAGACATTAACTATTATAAATACAGTTCTACTTTTTACTCTAACCAAGTACTCGCTTCTTCTTACCGTCTTCCTCTGCACGTACGAGTGTACGTGAAGTTACGAGGCACCGCCTTATTCTGTTATCAGAATAAGTAGCTTGTACTGTCACCAGTACAAGCTTCAGGGTGCCCCGTTACACCTGGTAGCACTTCGTAGTCCGTCCAAGGACCACGTTCACATCTAACATGAATATGTTAGATGATGAAGATGACCAAAGCTTTCACGCTACGCGTGACGGCTACTCCCATTTGAGTGATGTCGAATGGGATGCGGTTGAACGGATGGGTTCAACCATGGGCATCCATGCTGTTAGCGTCATGCTAGAGGCTCTCAATAGAGATGCCCAACATGCTACTATCGCCAAGTTCATTCAAAACGAACTCGACGCTGAACGCGAGAAAGTAGCCTTGCTTCACCAACAAGGTTCTCAACAAGCAGAGTTGTTGAGAGAACAAGGTGCTCAACAGTTTGAACTGTTGAGACAGCAGCAGGCTGCTGCTGGCGGGTCGATGCACTCGCGTCGGCCCGAGACTTTGAAGATTGACATCTCAAAGTATAGGGGGGTCGAAGAAGACTCCCTCTTGAGATGGTTCGTCGAATTGGATGACGCCATAAGGGCGCGTCGCATCGACGACGGGGATATGCAAGTTGCATTTGCCCAGTCAAATCTGGCAGGACGTGCCAAGACTTGGGCACTGGGGCTCAAGCTGCACGACCCATATGCGTTTGGGTCGTTGGAAGTCTTCAAGTCGCGGCTCAGACAAACGTTTGAACCGCCTAGAGCTGAGTTCAGAGCTTGAACCGAACTCTTGAAGCTCAAGCAGGGTAAGCGTGATGTGCACGCTTACGCTCAACATATACGACATCTCACGAGTTGTATAAGTTCCAATCCGGTGGATGAACACACGTTGGTTTCGGTGTTCATGCAGGGTCTTGCGGATGGTCCCGTCAAGACTCACCTGTTCCGGCTTGAACTAGATTCACTAGAACAAGCCATTTCCATTGCGGAGCAGGAAGACTTCAGTCTGAGACAGGCTCACGCCAGCTCGACATCATATCGTCAACCGAGACGATATGACAACGGAGGTCCAGAGCCGATGGAAATCTGTTATGTAGAGAGCGAGAAGGCTCGCTCTACAGGCTACAAGAAGTTGCAGAGATGCAACAGATGTCAAAAGACAGGACACTACGCTTACGAGTGTAGTGCCCCTCGTCCAGTGTCTCGCGACACTGGGCGTAGTGACCGTCCACCCATGAGAAAGGGGCAGGGACGAGGGTCCGCAGTTGGTGCAAAGACGCAACAACGGGATGGACCGTCAAAAAACGGACAGGATCAGTAGGTGCGGAGCACCCTACTGATCCAGCAACGTCAAGAGAATTTGTAGGCCTCTTGATGAAGGTTGCTCCCAACACACAGACATTGTGCGTTGCTGCTCTAGGTAATGAGGTCTCACTCATTACCTTGAAACTCGAAGTGACGAATAAGTTGTCCCTTCGAGCTCTAGTCGATTGTGGGGCGTCCAACAATTTTGTGCGACGCCAATCGCTAGAAGATGGTCACTTTAAATTCAGTGAATGTGACACACCTCCTACGAGGATGACGGTACGTCTTGCGACAGGCGCATCCGTAACCGTCATGAAGCGTATAGTGAAGATTCACTATACGCTAGAAGATACCCAATACGACGATGACTTTATCGTATTGGATTTGGATGACAAATTTGATGTCATCCTTGGAATACCGTGGCTCAGAAGGTACGAACCACGGGTAAACTGGCAACATCGGACAGTAACGATGCCTGCCGCTTGTTCATCAGATGGCCATCTGATGAACGTTTTGGAGCGTCCACAAGCGTGTGGATGTACTACGAGTGAGTGCGATGGCCTCACTTGTGGTACGGTCGTTAGTACGACTGCACAAAACCTTAGTGTACCAAACGGTTACACTTCGGATCAAAGTTCCGGCGGCTGTGAGGAAACACAGGCTGCGCCGAAGGTCCACCACTCGAATAAGTCGGGTGGACTGGGACAAAGATGTATCCCTAGAGGGGAACATCTAGAAGAGAAACAATCGATCGCTCAGGTTAAGCGAAACGATAATCCTAGATTGACTGGAGAGTCTTTCGTAGAGGATCTCGCTGTGGTTGCGCAACCCCAGCTAGAGGAAGTAAAGGGAATAAGTCCCAAGATTACAAATACGGCGGAAATAAGTTCCCCGAAACCCGCGGGAATAAGTCCCCGGGAAGACGAAGGAATAAGTCCTTCGAAGCCTGAGGGAATAAGTCCCCAGGAAATGACAGAGACATTGAATGTCATAGTCAATAACGGATCATGTGTAGGCGCTTATACACTTGATCTGATTGCGCCTCCGAAGTTAACTTCGGAGATCACTCAGTTGCCAACGCTCGAACATAAAAGATTCTTGCGTGATCTGCGTAGTGGCAAAGTCAAGCAGATCTGCATACTCGTCGCTGACGACGAGTATGTAACTGACATAAGGTCAGCAACAGTGTTTACTGAGAACGAGAGAGTTCTCAGTAGTTCATCTATGGACGAGAGTGTCCTAGATGAAAAGACACGAATTGAGCGATATGAGTCCCAATCATGGGAATCGCTCAAGGAAAATCCTCTCTATGAAGATTTGGTTGAATTCAAGGATGTATTCCCTGAAACTGTTCCGTGCGAATTACCGAAGGATAAAGGTATTCGACACGAAGTCGAGCTTAAACCAGGCTCGAAGTACTGTGTCATGAAGCAGTGGCCACTGCCTCGTGAACAAGTACTTGCGATCGACAAGTTCTTTGCCGATCGTTTAGCAGCGGGCCATGTGAGGGAATCAACTTCCCCACATAGCTCTCCGACCTTCTGTGTGCGAAAAGCAACAGGAGGGTGGCGGATAGTGCACGCGTTTAACAAATTGAACGCTGCAACGGTACCGGCTCAGACGCCGATACCGAGGAAGGACGTAATCATTGATGGTATGTCAAAGAGTACCATCTTTTCGTCCATGGATTTGATGGATGGCTTCTATCAAATCCTAATGCGGGAACGGGATATACCCTATACCGCAGTTAGCACGCCTAGCGGCATGCTCTGGGAATGGCTAGTAATGCCACAAGGGCTCAGTAATGCCCCTGCCACGTTCAACAGGTGTGTATCACATCTGTTGAGGCCAGTACGAGAATTCGCGCCGAGTTATTTCGATGACGTATTCATCCATAGTCGAGCTATGGATGGAAAGTCGGACGTTGAGGTTCACAAGTACCACGTCCGACAAGTTCTTACAATCATGCGAAAGCATCAATTGTATGCAAACCTCAAGAAGTGTATATTTGCAGCAAGCGAAATACCACTTCTTGGGTGCATCGTTGGTAAGAACGGTGTACGTCCTGATCCCGAAAAGATCAAGGCGATCACCGACTGGCCCGTGCCGGTCGATGTCAAAGGTCTTCGAAAATTCCTTGGGCTAGCGGCGTATTTGCATAAGTATTCACGCAATTACGCCGAGATGACTGTACACCTCTCTCGTTTGTTGAAAAAGAACGAGAGGTGGTTATGGAACGCTGAATGTCAGCGCTCCTTTGATGGTATCAAGCAGAGCTTGATACAATCCCCAGTCCTAGCAATAGCCGATCAGGACAGGCCATTTCATGTGGTCTGTGATGCCAGCGATTTCGCAATCGGCTGTGCATTAATGCAGTACGACCTTGAAGACGTTGAACGCGTCGTCTGCTATCAGTCGCGTCAGCTGCAACCAGCTGAGCGGAACTATCCAGTGCATGACAAGAAACTCCTTGCCATGAAGTATGCACTCGCGAAGTTCAGAGTCTATCTATTAGGAGATTACCCTTCATTCTTTACACTGACCATGCGTCATTATGCACGGCAGTGAACAGCCCGCACCTTTCACAACGAATGGCGCGGTGGTTGTCATTCTTTGCAGAATACAACTTTACGGTCGAATACAAACCAGGACGACTTAATGTCGTCGCTGATGCACTCTCACGTCGTCCCGACTTTGAAACAGTCGCGAAACCCAACAGTGAGACAGTCACTGTTGCGGTTATGACGTCCTCAGTTCCATCTACAACGTTGTATGATGATGTGAGGCGGGCATACGCCCAAGATGGTGAGATAGTGAAGTTGTTGTCACATCTCTCCCAACCATCTCGAGAATCGTTGAAACGATTGTCGTCTGCGTATCGATCTGCATCAGATCGATACACTACTCGCAACGGTTTACTGTACTATACAGCCGTTTCTGGTGACACACCACGTGTTGTCATTCCAGATGATACTGATCTGCGTTTGCGGATCATGTTCGAGTATCACGATGCTCCTATAGGAGGACATCGTGGCCGAGAGAAAACATATCTCACGGTAAGTCGAGACTTTTACTGGCCCCGCCAGTATCAGTTTGTGCGAAAGTATGTTCGCGCATGCGAAGTCTGCCAACGAGTGAAGTCAAGTCCTTCACTGCGTGCACCTTAACAGCCTCTACCGGTTCCGGCTGAGTGCTGGGAATCCATCTCAATGGATTTCGTCTTCGGGTTACCCAAAGACGCACGCGGGAATACGGGTATTCTCGTATTTGTTGACAGATTCAGCAAAATGGTACACCTTGTGGCTGTACCAGAGACAATCACGGCAAGTGGCTGTGCTTGTGTCTTTATTGACACCATCTTCCGACTTCATGGGTTGCCCCGTGAACTCGTATCAGACAGAGATCCACGATTCACTGCTGATTTCTGGCGTTCCGTGTTCAAATCACTCGGAACGCGCTTGAAGATGTCAACATCTGATCATCCAGAGTCAGATGGTCAGACGGAACGTGCCAATCGTGTCCTTGAAGAGATACTTCGAGGATACGTACACTCCTTTAAGAGATGGAGTGAGTTTTTGCCGATGGTAGAGTTTGCCATCAACAACTCGGTGCATGCGTCCACGACACATACACCGTTTTACGTGAATGGCTTGCGCCATCCGCGTGTACCCACCTTACTAGAGTGTAACTCTGGTTTAAGGGGGGGAGGGACTCGCGCGAGCAAAAACCGATTTGGTTCACGCTCATCACGCTCTGACGAAGAAGTCATTGCGTTTGATGCCGATATCGATAACATCGATATCGAAGAAGATGATGCCAGTGAGAGTGCGGAAGCCCTCACTGAAGACAATGATCCCAGTGAGAGTGCGGAAGCCCTCACTGAAGAAAAGGTTGTTGTCGCTGCAGTGCGCTCACAGCACACTGAAGCTAACGAGTCATCAGATGAGTTCATACTGGCTCGTGAAACGGTAGTCCGTTAAGTGCAAGACTCCATCGCCGAAGCGGTGGATAAGCAAAAGCAAAACGCTGACAAGAATGGAAGGGCAAACACTCTTTTATTTAATAAAGGTGACTTAGTCCTACTGTCTACGGTTAATCTACCAAAACATGTAGTGACTAACTTGGGTAGCAGTAAACTACTACCCAAGTACATTGGCCCATTTCGTGTATTGCACCGCCTAGGCAATGCATACACGATCGAGTTACCACGTAAGATGCGAACGCATCCCACGTTTTACGTTGGTCGGCTTAAGCCGTACCATCAGTACGCTGCTTCTTCCGATGAAGAACGCCCTTGCGCTCAAGCATCTCGCAGAGAGCCTTGTGCTCCCGATGGTGGGCATCAACAAGGGTCTGAAGAGCAGTTATCTCAGCCCGAGACCGATCAACAATCCCACGAGCTACCCTTAGCTCGTCACGAAGAGATGTCAGAGATCTCTCGTTCTCAAGCTTAGCAAAGGCAAACTCAGCTCGATGCTTCAAGGCAGTGTCCACCATCTGGAGACGCCTATTCCGCTCATGCTCGAGATCGTCGCGTAACCCTTGCGTTACGCGATCAAAGAAGCTCTCGGGAACACACCGATCCACATGATCGTGTGGAGAGCGTCTTTCCTCCTCCTCCACCTCCATTAGAGGACTCTCGCGGTGGCCAGCGCTATCTAGTTGAGCAGCTGTTGAACCACCGCGACGTGAACGGACGTCGGACGAGTTACCTCGTCCGGTGGCGCGGCTATCCCCCGTCCTGGGATTCTTGGGAGCCCCGCTCCCAATTGATGGTTGACGTACTGGGTCTGGTCGAGCAGTACGACGCGACACATCCTGTGCCGCAGAAGGACCGCCGGAGAAAGTCTTCCCGGCATGGTCGTAAAGGGATTTCAGGTTGTCAATCCCTTCGTACATCTCAGTAGAGACACGTACGCGCCACCACGGGCTGGTAAGGAGGTAAGCCTCCTTAGGTGCTCGTGCAGAGTTGTTCACACAACATGGGCACGAGTCTCCCCAAGAGAGGCAGGGTAATCCTTTCTCCCTTGACAGACGATGCAGCTTATAGCGTGCACCTGTCGGGGTTCGCTTTTCAAACTTATCACGAGCTTTGATAAGTTTGTCGTTCCAAGCGTCACGACCTACATCCTCGAGATTATGGATGTAGGCGTTCCACGCCTGAAGTAGTGAGGGACCATCACGTTTGTGATTCCCACTGTACCATCGATGTCTGAAGAAAGCATCGATGAAGAACTCATGTTCAGCGCGATAGTCTTTCGCGCTGGGGTCAAGGTGATGAATCCTCGACGAATCGAACAATCGTGTTCGATAACGATCACTCGTCGTCGCCGACAAGTGATCCATGACAGATTTAGGAGGCATCCATGCCTTCTTTTCTGGAGCGAGACGCAACACATTGCAGTCCCGCTCTTCCTGCGACGTGCCGACAGAAGTACTGGCACCTCGCTGTGAAGTGGTGTCCATTGGAGAAACGACACCACTATTAGCGCCCGAGTCTCGCGACCTCGAGCGCCTTCGCTTCGGCGATGGTTCATCTGACTCATCAGATGAACCAAAGATGCTGCGACGCAAAGCATCGTCCATGCCACGCTTGGCAGGCGGCTTGGATTCAATTGCCGTCGATACGGATCCGTCATCCGTATCAGGAGAGTACGAGACACCGATCTCGTACTCTGTGAAGACACGAGTGTCTTCATGACCAGCGCCTGCATCACCAGGTGATACAGGCTGAGTCGATTCAGCAACCGATGGGACATCAGTTGCTGTAGTTTCTGCTTCGGCGTCCGCACAGAGACGTGCAGACGCGCTCTCGGCGGCCTTGCTCGCGCATCGCATGGGCTTGTTTACCATGCGATGAAATGTTGGAAAGTGGACGCGTACCAACAAGTGCAAACCCCGTCCCAAATGATTTGGGACGAGTATCCATTTAGTCAATCAGTCACTAAAGTGACTGATGGTTAAGGGGGGTGATGTAACGGGGTGAATCGTTACATAACAATTTATAAGAAATTGTTAATAGAATATAACTATAAGAGTTATATTCTCAGAATATTGTCATAAGGACAATATTCTGTAGCACTTCCAAGTAGTTCCTAATTGGTTGATATAGGCCATTATATCAACCAACGAAGACGCGCCACGACAGACGCACGCAATGAGTGGTGAGCAGATAACTGATTTACACATTTGTATTTAGACATAGTTAGATGAAGATAAATAGTGATTTATTGCAGACATTAACTATTATAAATACAGTTCTACTTTTTACTCTAACCAAGTACTCGCTTCTTCTTACCGTCTTCCTCTGCACGTACGAGAAGTTACGAGGCACCGCCTTATTCTGTTATCAGAATAAGTAGCTTGTACTGTCACCAGTACAAGCTTCAGGGTGCCCCGTTACATTCACCCTTTGATCGGACCCGTAGTTGCTCAGATCTGCGCCAAATGACGGGTATTTTTGCCGTCGAACGGACTCCTCAATATGTTTGACTGAAGCGTGTGGAGCACTTATGCACTTGTGTTCACCTACCTACACCAGCATCGATCGCGGGCCATTTCGCCCTAACACATTCAAGGGTCATCAAGAGCACCCACACATGGAGGGGCAGCATACTCTGACAATTTATCAAGCCACTGTAAAATTCAAAGAATTAGAGACAATGGGCACCGAGTTCTTTACCGCCACGTTCGGCGACGGTGACCACCTATATTTTTTGTTTCAAGACCATTGGTTCAACGATGACGAGCCCACGACATAGTGAACAGAACTTGAGCGCAGAGAACGCTAGCACTTTTGGAATGATGCGCCTTGTTTAGTGGTCCGTAGGCTCAACATTACTGCACTTACTCGAGGCAACAAAAACGTAGCGCATGTGCGTAGACGTTCGAGTTACTCGACTAAGTCTTCGTAACCAACGAGATCGAGTGGAATAGCACGAGAATCGAGATGTCCTATCTCTTGCTTTGCCACACCTCGCTCGCTTTCTCGGCTCGAATCAGCGATATCAAAAAATTTGGTCAACGCACTATCAGAGCCCATATTAGTGATCCAGATCGGCTTCAAAAGCCACGGCCAATGTGCCAGTTTGATCAAGTCAATGGACGTATCAAGGTTATCAAGATCAAGTTGCCGCAGCAGGTTATATTCACACAGCAGAAACACGAGCAGCAGGAATCGAAGGCACATCCCTTGTTTAAGCATGCCGCAATTGAAGCGACACATTTTTCTATTATATGGGGTTGTCGAGACTACCTGCAACAAGAATGCAATATTGGTTGGTACGCTCGGTAACTTTCTCCAGCACTACACGACGCGATTGAAGTCACTTCCCGATCTGCGCTTTCCGGCAACAACGGCCAAGCAACGAGGACCTCCAAAGAGCCGGACAATCGATCCCCTAACTCTAGGCGGGAAGTCCCTTATCGTGGGGCCCAGCTTGAAGGGGGAAGCCGTCTTGCCGCTGCTTGCCTACAGGAGGCTGCGTGGCGTGCAAACTGGAAGGGAAGCAACAACCAGGGCATCCTGAGGTCTAGGGTACGTCAGAACGATCACCCTGCACCATGTACAAGTTCCTGCTCTTCTGCATCCGCCATCAAGTCGTTGACCCGTTCGCCGAGCGCAATCTCCGGTCCCACAAAGCGAACTTGCTAACAACGTGATGCTGTCTGGTGGACCCGGCGCCGGTAGTACATGCTAGGGACAAGTCAAGACGGCCCTCGGGACTGTTTGAAGCTGTAAAGGACCTCCCTTGCAGGCGTCCTCTGCACCCAACATTCGCCCCCAGCTTTTTTCCGGTGACACGTGCCCTTCTCAGAGTGTCCCCTGTGATGCCCGATGTATCGAGCCAGCAGAATGAGCTAGAGGAGACGAACGATGCAGTCCTGGTAGATGACCAATAACTACCAGAAATCAAAGACTAGTAATAATTACTACGAATAGACCGTCTAAATCTCTCTCATGACGCGATTAATGTCAGAAGTGCCCAATCTTTGCCTTGAAGGAACGTCTCTCCCCCCAGCGATTGTCGTTGCCTGAATGAATCTAGAACCCATCACGCTCCTCGTACGACCCGATCGAGTTCCGGTCGCAATTCTGGCAGTTGGTACACACAGTCTCGTCTGCTATTCATTCTGATCGCCGATGGGAACCCTCTAGTGCTTGCTATGTTGCTGTGTCGATCTCGGCTTAGTCTCATTCGATATTCGCGTCGCAGTGCTTGTCCATTTCAGGCCGTGACCATTTATCAGGTCATCAAAATCAACTGGAGGCTATGAGAGATGTGCAGAAAAGCTAGCAGCAGATTTTCGAGACATTACCACCACAATCACGCTCTTCTTCTTCGATGCAGATCCTTCATCCATTAACGTCACAGTTACGTCACTTCTTTTCGAAAATCATGAGGCCTGACGCTTGAGCCCGTTCAGACAGACCAGCATGTATCAGCATTCATAGGATAGCATGCTGACCACGCTATGCCTCATCGTGAGCAAAAAAGAGTACCAAGTCTTGTCTGCAGGACGTCCGACGCCTCAGCACCAGTTTCAGGTTCGGATTAGTGACTGTTTTTTTATCCACGCCTTAATCGGTTGGTGGTGGTCTGTCAATCAAGAACCAGTATAGGTGATTTCGAGAAGCAGACACACACGCGCGTTGTCATATCGCACGAAGAAAAGACATTGTAGTACGCTCAGAAGCATCTGCGCACAGCGATCCAGAGAATGACGGTCAAGTTGTTTGCTCTATCTTTCTATCTAACCTTGACTTGCAAAGTTTGATTGCACAGCTGTATCCAGATTGCACTGACTAGCTGGGGACAGACCAGAAGCAAAACCACTGATACCGTGCTTGCAAATCGGATCCATACCACAGCTGGGGGCAGTGTCGATGATGCGCTCGCACTTCCTGTTGTGCACTAAAATTTGACCGTGTAAGATTTGACGCTGACAGACGCCATCGCAAATATGTTTGCAACTCTTC